CGAGTCCGAGCTCCTGGCCCCGCCTCTTCATTGGTCGCTACTAGGTCACTCTCCCTGAACGGTGAGCTTTATCGTACCTCTGCTTAAAGCTATGTATGTATCCTGCCTCCACTACATCGCTTCCCAAACTATTCCACTTCCTGACTACTCTGTGGCTGATGAAATACTTCCTAACATCCCTGTGATTCATCTGTGTCTTCAACTTCCAACTTGTACCCCCTTGTTGCTGTGTCCCATCTCTGGAACATCCTGTCTTTGTCCACCTTGTCAATTCCTCTCAGTATTTTGCATGTCGTTATTATGTTCCCCCTATCTCTCCTGTCCTCCAGTGTAGTCAGGTTGATTTCCCGTTAACCTCTCCTCGTAGGACATACCCCTTAGCTCTGGGACTAGTCTTGTTGCAAACCTTTGCACTTTCTCTAGTTTCTTTACGTGCTTGGCTAGGTGTGGGTTCCAAACTGGTGCCGCATACTCCAATCTGGGCCTAACGTACACGGTGTACAAGGTCCTGAACGATTCCTTATTAAGATGTCGGAATGCTGTTCTGAGGTTTGCTAGGCGCCCATATGCTGCAGCAGTTACTTGGTTGTTGTGCGCTTCAGGAGATGTGCCTGGTGTTATACTCACCCCAAGATCTTTTTCCTTGAGTGAGGTTTGTAGTCTCTGGCCCCCTAGACTGTATTCCGTCTGCGGTCTTCTTTGCCCTTCCCCAATCTTTATGACTTTGTACTTGGTGGGGTTAAACTCCAGGAGCCAATTGCTGGACCAGGTCTGTAACCTGTCCAGATCCCTTTGTAGTTCTGCCTGGTCTTCGATCGAATGAATTCTTCTCATCAATTTCACGTCATCTGCAAACAGGGACACTACCCCTTAGCTCTGTGTGTGTACTCACCTAATTCACCTAATTGTGGTTGCAGGGGTCAAGACTCAGTTCCTGGCCCCACCTCTTCACTGAGTGCTATTAGGTCCTCTCTCTCCTTGCTCCATGAGCTTTATGAAACCTCATCTTAAAGCTATGTATGGTTCCTGCCTCCACTACATCACTTGCTAGGCTATTCCACTTCCTGACTACTCTATGACTGAAGAAATATTTCCTAACATCCCTTTGACTCATCTGGGTCTTCAACTTCCAATTGTGACCTCTTGTTTCTGTGTCCCCTCTCTGGAACATCCTGTCTCTGTCCACCTTGTCTATTCCACGCAGTATTTTGTATGTCATTATCGTGTCTCACCTAACCCTCCTGTCCTCCAGTGTCGTCAGACCGATTTCCATTAACCTTTCTTCGTAGGGCATTCTCTTAGCTCTGGAACTACCCTGTCGCAAACCTTTGCACTTTCTCTAATTTCTTGACGTGCTTGATCAAGTGAGGGTTCTAAACAGGTGCTGCATACTCCAGTATGGGCCTGACGTACATAGTGTACAGTGTCTTCAACGATTCCTTACTAAGGTATCAGAACACTATTCTCAGGTTTGCCGGGCACCAATATGCTGCAGCAGTTATCTGGTTGATATGTGCTTCCGGAGACGTGCTTGGTGGTATTATACTCACCCCAAGATCTGCCTCCTTGAGCGAGGTTTGCGGTCTTTGGCCACCTAGCCTATACTCTGTCTGCAGTCTTCTTTGCCTTTATCCGATCTTCATGACGTGTGTGTGTGTGTGTGTGTGTGTATTACACACACACAGAAACACTGAACCAGTAAGATTCAACCGGAGAGTAGTGTGTGTGTGTGTGTGTGTGTGTGTGTGTGTGTGTGTGGTGTGTGTGTGTGTGTGAATATCGGCTTTCTCCATATCCAAACTCCATCCATCATACACCAACCAGCATTCCTCCTGATATTTGCATTCCAGAAATTCTTTCCAGTCTTCCGTCGTTTTAATAAAATCAGTTTTATTTTCAGGCATCCCTCCCTCCCCCAGGACAATCCTACCTGCTTCCCAGGACTCACTCTCCCCACCCCCAAAACTCATCTACCTGCCCCCCGGGACTCACTCTCCCCTCTCCTAGAACTCGCCTTCCTGTTCTCCGGGACTCACCCTCCCCATCCCCAGGATTCACTTTCCTTTTCCCCAAAGACTCACTCTCCTCTCTCCCCGATAACTGACCTCCTTATCCCCATGACTCACCTAGCCCTCCCCAGGATTCACCTGGCCCTCTCCAGGACTTACCTAGCCCTCCCCAGTGACACACCTCCATCATTCCAAACAATCTCACCCAGTCTGACCTCCAGTCAGATATCAACCACCACGCCACTGCATCAAGCCCTAGACACACACAACCCAGCCAAAAGCATCTTTTATCATACAGAAGACACATTTCGCCCTTTTAAAGGGCGATGTATCGTATAACAAGAAAAAAACACTCCTCCACATGAGGGGTTCTTGATTAAGAAATTATATCTGCCCTTAGAGCAAGCCTGAATGCCTCCTCTGCACCAAGGTGTTGTACTGCCTATTTGACCCTAGCTCTCAACCATGAACAGAATCTGCTATGGGAGTTTTGTATCCCCAGTCTGGCCCGGGTTAACCCCAGTTCATTCTGCTGTCTGCTCATTGACAGGCGATCATTGTGACTTATCTTACGTATTCCATATTCATACCCTGTTTATACCCTAGTACACCACAACTTTATCATAGTTTACATGTTCCGCTAAAGCCCTGTGGGCTATTCGTTGCAAGGAATGGTGCAGACTCGATGTTCCGTCTCCTGATACCGAGAGAGAAAGTTGTTTCCTACTCTACCCACAGATGCTACCCGTTCTAGCACCTCAAGTGATGTGCCTGCAGGTGACGTGCTTGTGGATGATGTGCTTGTAGATGATGCGCCTGCAGGTGATGTGTCTGTAGATGTGCCTGCAGGTGATGTGTTGAGGCTGTGCCTGCAGGTGATGTGGATGATGTGCTTGAGGATGTGCCTGCAGGTGATATGCTTGTAGATATGCCTACTAGTGATGTGCCTGTAGATGAAGTATTTGTAGATGATGTGCCTGCAGGTGATGTGCTTGGAGACATGAGTTTCCTGGTGCTGTCCAGCCACCACCTCGTCAGACGTCTTGCACACATTTTTATAACGTTATTTGTAATAAAATATACATTTTAACAGGTGCATGTATCTCATAATAATCTAATCTAAGTTATCCTAACCTAACCATTGCTAATTTAACCAAGCTTATTTTAGCTTAACCTAACTTATTCTAACTTATCCCTCACCTACTGTAACGTAAAGTAACCTATCCATATTTAACCTAATCTTTTACTTAATCAAACCTAATATACCCTAACCTAACGCATCACAACTTTAATAGAAAAGAAAATTGGCAAGTTTAGAGAGAATTAAGAAGTTTACTTTGGCAATCGCGTTTGAAAATTAACGAAGTTTTCCCAGGATATACTGTCGGATGAGTCGCGAATATGATATACACCAAAGCAGTATACCTCGCTGTACAGTGCTGAAGTAAACTATATCCCGATATACCCCAGCCAAGGCAGCCTTACCCCAGCCTCTGTGTTGTTACGAAGCATCAAAGGTACAATGTTTGTCCATCCTTGACTCAGTTATCTGTCAAATGGAACCAAATTTATTTAAGCTTAAAACGTTTTTATTGACATTTTTACAGCACATGACCTGACTCAAACGCTACGAGATTAAAATTTCAATTTACGATGAATTTGAGGTAAATTGAAAAAATGGGTGATAGTGATCCCTTTTTATTTTGTGTTTTGTCCATAAAAATAGTTTTATCTGGTCAAATAAAATAGGGGGAAGGGGCACATTCTTTATTGATTATAAATGTGTTTGTGCTCACCTAGTTGTCCTCGCCGAGTTGTGGTGAGTTGGATTCGCTGCAGGTTGTTGTTGGGCTAAATATGTGCAAATCGGCAGGATAAATAAAATCTGTTGTTTACAGCGGTTCATGGCCAAATACTTTGGCCATGGATATGTTTTTTCCCTACAGGAATCGGGAAAGTGTTGACGATGGCAGGTGATGGAAGGTAATGGCAGGTGATGGCAGGTGATGGTAGGTAATGGCAGGTGATGGTAGGTAATGGTAGGTAATGGCATGTGATGGCATGTGATAGCATGTGATGGCATGTGATGGCATGTGATAGCATGGAAGAGAGACTGTTCCTCCCCTCCCGTCCGTTAACTTTATTTTCCGCGCAATAAGTTGAGAATGCCACTTTTGTACGGCTTTAAATTTACATAGCTGACATGTCTAACCCCCCTACCGCCCCCCCCCAAAAAAAAATGAACATTCAAATTAGTTTTGGGCTATGTAGGTGCCATTTTTTCCAATTTCACTGAACAAGATTTGATAACTGTTTCCCTGTAATAACCCGGGAATGCTTCTTCGTATCGGCTTCACACTTTCACTGCCAATGTATCTTACCAATAGGAAGGTTCGAATTTTTAATATGCTTTATAAGCACCAATTTTCTAGTTTCACTTAGAAATGGTTTCACACTGACCAATTTTGAAACACTAACGATGCATCATACTTCTTTAAGTCTAAATCATATTTTTTTTTCTTTGCCATGCAGATTCCTTTAGGCTTCTAAGATAAGTTAATTTTAAGTATACACCTCAAACAAATTCCGAATATTGTGATTAATTTAAATCATGAGAGCTTTTAACCTCAGGCCACAAAACTGATAAAGTCAGTTGTTAGAGAAACGTCTTCAGAATGAAGATACCCTTATGTTATACACGTGTCTTTTTCCCATCAATGTGTCGGATAACATTAATGCTATGAGGCTTCTCTGACACAGTAACATCGAGGTGTTGATGGGAACATCTGCCGTTCCCATAAACAAACCTACCTGGGCTCTCTACTCCTGCAAAACTGCAAGCTCCTGATAAAGTGTTGACTGCAACATGAAAGGCTTAGAGATATCATTCAACTTCCCCTGTAGTTGTTTTGCATGATTAATAAGAAGAAGCAGTGATCTTAGTTTAAAAATGAGAGTTAACTATCACAAAGTATAATCAAAGAAACTAACCTTCCTCACAGTCCGGGCCCGTCCAAAAGGTGTCACAGACACAGGCGGAGGTGTGGAGGTCGTAATGGCCATGACCGGAGCAGTCTGGGAGACAAGTGAACACCTTGTGGTCCACCGTAGAGCAGTTATTGCCGGTCCAGCCGGCCCGGCACACACAGCGACCCTTCCACGCACCAGCCACGCCCACCACACGATGGTTCAACACAGTCCACTGGCAGGGACGATGAGAAAAAAAATGCTTTTAGTTGACTCTTATGGAAGCGGAAGTAAATATACAAAGCACACACACACACACAAAAAAAAAATAAAAGGGCAATGTCGATCAAGAAGTGCTTTTGACACATGTAACAAACGCATGAATGACTCACGAAATCGTAATGACACGATTGCAAACAAACCATACCACGGGCGGGATTGAACCCGCGGTCAGAGTCTCAAAACTCCAGACCGTCGCGATAGCCACTGGACCAGCTAGCCACAATAAGATTCGTCCAACTATACCTAGTTGGACGAATCTTATTGTGGCTAGCTGGTCCAGTGGTTAACGCGACGGTCTGGAGTTTTGAGACTCTCTGACCGCGGGTTCAATCCCGCCCGTGGTATGGTTTGACACGCATGAATTCTCTCTCTCTCTCTCTCTCTCTCTCTCTCTCTCATTCTTTTTCCGTGTCTCCCTCTCTATGCACTCCTTCAGGTATTGGAAACACGGTGGTGAATTTGTGTGCTGCGTGTCTTTCCCTTTTATGAACCCTCGATGTATTGGAAGATTTTTGGTGGGAAGGGGAGAGGGTGTGAGAGTTTCTGTACGTCTTGTGAATGAGGCAGAGAATGTACGAACACACACACACACACACACACACACACACACACACACACACACACATTGTATATCTGAACGTCTCCTTTGAAAACGTGTTCAGAACGCAAATAAGTCAATGAACGCTCGCTGTTGGAGCGATGTCATCAAGGAAGGGAGAGACTAACCCAAACACTGCCCGTCTAAAAGTAAACAACAGTCAGATTCAACTACTCGGACTGAGGCTCCAGATGAATCAATTCACGTAGTCTTCTTTTACTCATAATTTGCAAATGAAATGAAGAAGGGATGGAGAGCAGGGCAACCAAGAGAGTGGTGCATACTCAAGGTAAAACAGAGCTTCTCTAGTATAGAATTTTGTGGTCACAGCTGTCAAAAAGTAATGGTGTTAGAATGCATTACATTAATGGGGAAGCGCTAAACCCACAGAAGTAGGGACACGGTAATGAGAAGTAATAAGGTTTGATTCTAAGGGGGATTCAGTACTACATTTACTTGGACCAGAAACTTTTCATCAGCATCAAGTGTGAGCAGTGTACGTGAAGTGTGAGCAGTGTATGTGAAGTGTGAGCAGTGTACGTGAAGTGTGAGCAGTGTACGTGAAGTGTGAGCAGCGTACGTGAAGTGTGAGCAGTGTACGTGAAGTGTGAGCAGTGTACGTGAAGTGTGAGCAGTGTATGTGAAGTGTGAGCAGTGTACGTGAAGTGTGAGCAGTGTATGTGAAGTGTGAGCAGTGTACGTGAAGTGTGAGCAGTGTACGTGAAGTGTGAGCAGTGTACGTGAAGTGTAAGCAGTGTATGTGAAGCGTGAGCAGTACATGTGAAGCGTGAGCAGTACATGTGAAGCGTGAGCAGTACATGTGAAGCGTGAGCAGTACATGTTTACTGGATCTCAAATTTGCGTGTTTCACAAGAATTCCTGATCGTTACTTCAACACAATAACGTAAGAATCTCTTCCAGTCAATCTCACTCCAGTAGTAAGATTCTAATTTTCGGAGACCATCATCCTCATCTGTTGTGCTTTCAGTAGCAAATATAATCTGCCATCTCTTGTCCTATTTCACAGCAAGGAGTGTCTGGTGTGCCTGAAGCCAGTCGGAACCTCTTCTATTTAGCTCTATGACTGTTTACTCTTTTAAATGAATTACCAGCGTTTATATATTTCTGGGACTATTGTATTTTCTTTCTATTCGTCATCGTCGTCGTCTCCTCCTGCTCCTCCTCCTCTTCACCTTCCCACTGCTTTCTCTTCTAGTCACAGCGGCTCTTGGCAACCAATATTTACCAGACCCTTCAAATGTCGTTGCTGGAGAGCGGTATTCACAGGGTTACGGAAAGTGTCTGCTGTGTGTGTATGTATACATGTATAATATATATATATATATATATATATATATATATATATATATATATATATATATATATATATATATATATACATGTATAATATATATATATATATATATACATGTATAATATATAATATATATATATATATATAAATATATATATAATATATATATATATATATATATATATATATATATATATATATATTTTGTGCAAGGAATTCGCGAGAGCATGCGAAATATACACAAACACTGATCTCTGGCTGAAGGAGACTCGAACCTACGAACCTTAGGACAAGGTACGCAGTGCTTTACCAATCTACCCACACTGGACCAGTGTGGGTAGATTGGTAAAGCACTGCGTACCTTGTCCTAAGGTTCGTAGGTTCGAGTCTCCTTCAGCCAGAGATCAGTGTTTATATATATATATATATATATATATATACATTATATATATATTTTATATATATATATATATATATATATATATATATATATATATATATATTATAATATATAATATATATATATATATATTCTCTTATACGTTTAAAGATATATTTTTTCAGTTATGTTAATGAAAAAATTATTTTGTACCAAAAGAACCTTAGAAAGCTTACCTAACCCTATAACTTATAACTGCAATCAAGTCTCTGTCCCAGACTTCCGCTTGGCCGATTTCATGGGACTGAGAAATTTCGTGGGTGGGCTAAATTGGAACGACCTCATGAATATGGGTCAGGTAGGTGATGATGGTTGCCAATATGCTGTTTTTCAGAGCATAGTTCTAGCTGCCCAGACAATTTGTTCCAAGTAGGGAATTTAGATCAACCAAAAATGATTCCAAATTAATAAATAATAGATTAAAACATCTCACTGGTCAAAAGAGAGGCATATATAGGCGTATCAAAAGAGGGGATGGACAGTTAAGAAATCAATAAATTCGGTTAAAGAGAGACATAAAAAATGGAATAAGAAAAGCTAAAAGAGATTATGAGGCTAAAGTCGCAAGGGATTTAAAGACTAACCAAAAAGCTTCTTTCAGGTATATAGAAGTAAAATTAGGGACAATATAGGCCCACTTAAAAGTACCTCAGATCAGATCACTGACAGTGTTAAGGAAATGTGTGAAATTTTTAACTCTTATTTCCTCTCATTTTTTACACAGGAAGATACTAGCGAAAATACAGAAAGGATAAATTATGTAAAACAGACGATAATAAACTATGCACGATTAGGGTAACTAGTGACATGGTTTTTCAGACAAATAGAAAAATTAAAATCGAACAGAATGTAAAGAGGAGCTTAGTAAACCTTTGGCTAATCTTTTCAACATATCACTACAAACTGGCATAGTGCCTGGTAAGTGGAAAATGGCAAACGTAATACCTATTTACAAGGCAGGTGACAGGTCTTAGCTTTGAATTATAGACCAATAAGCCTTCCCTCCATAGTGGGAAAATTTATGGAATTAATAACTGCCGAGACAATTCGTAGCCATCTTGAAGGACATAAATTTATTAATGAATTTCATTCACGGTTTTACAAAGAAGCATTCCTTTCTTATGAATTTAATAACTTTTTTTTTCACCAACGTATTAGAGGAGGTAGATCATGGTAATGAATATGACAATGTGTATAAAGACTTCAGTAAGGGTTTCGATAGAGTTCCACACCAGAGGCTATTGAGGAAAATTAAGGCACACGGAATAGGAGGAGAATTTTTTTCCTGGGTAAAGGCGCGGTTGACAGATAAGCAGCAGAGAGTTTGCGTCAATTGTGAGAAATCAGAGTGGGGGCGCGTCACGATTCACAATTTATATCGACGACATAGATGAGGGAATAAATAGCGACATAAGCAAGTTTGCTGATAACTCCAAAATAGATCGCCTAATTATTCTAATGAGGAAATTAAAGCACTCCAGGAAAATTTGAATAGACTGATGCAATGGTCGAAGAAGTGGCAGACGCAGTTTAATATAAACAAATGCAAAGTTCTAAACATTGGACAAGAAAATACCCATGACACATATAAACTAAACAATGTAGATCTTAATATTACTGATTGCGAAAAGGATTAGACAAGTTCTGGTTAGCAGTAATCTAAAACCAAGACAACAGTGCATAAGTGTTCGCAATAAAGCGAACAGAATCCTTGGCTTCATATCAAGGAGCATAAATAATAGGAGCCCTCAGGTTGGTCTTCAACATTATGTATCTTTGGTTAGGAAACATTTAGATTATACTGCACATTCTGGTTATCGTATTACAGAATGGATATAAATTCAGTGGAAAATGAATAAAGGAGGATGACAAAGTTGATCCCATGTATCAGAATTTTTCCCTATGAGGATAGACTGAGGGCCCTGAATCTGCACTCTCTAGAAAGGCGTAGATGTATAAACGGAAAACAGGAATAAATAAAGCTAAAAATATCTAGCCTAGACAGGAGTACTCGCTAATGACCACACACACACACACAACACACACACACACACACAACACACACACAATATATATCACACAATAATACATAACAACAACATACAAATATATATATATATTTTTTTTTATTATACATATTAAAATCAATAAAAAACTTTACATATATTCACTCATCATGTATTCCATAATTATTACATACATTTTTAAACTGATACATTAAACCTATTGTATATGCAATATATATTAATACAATAGCTATATATTAAAATATTAGCGTTTCAACTATTTTTAGTTAGTACATAGATGCCAGTACAAATAATGAACTATTATACAAATTTTGTATACTTACTATAAACAAAACAACACGAACAGTACACTGTTATTAACATCAAGAACGCCACACCAAACAGGCTAAGGCTACAGGAATATGTACTAAACGTAACTTGATTACAACTAAAGTAACTAAAGCAGTTACGCTGGATATGGAACTTGGAGAGAACATAAACAAACCTTCGAGTCTGGAGGAAAAATTTCTTGCTAAAATTGTGGTGTGGAAATCTTCGTGGAAATAAAATATGTAAACTAAACATTATGATGATTAA